ACACGGGCAAATCTCAGAGACATGCTGAAAGAATCCAGATATGAGAATGCATACTGTATGATTTCAATGCTATGATACTCTGGAAAAGACACATTTAATCTGTAATGACAGACTCAGTGATGGCTTTGGGCTGGGGATTAGGAAGGGGGACAGTGAAACTTTTTGGGGGTACTGTAAATGTTGAACACACTGATTACGGGTGGTTACCTGAGTGTATAATTTTGTCTAAGATCATAGTGCACTTAAAATGAGTACATTTTATTTTTTGTCAGTCATACTTTAATAAAGTTGTTTTTAAAAATGAATAAATTATTGATGCATGCAGCAATGTGGAAGAATCTCAAAGAGTAAAGCGCCAAAACATTATGCTGAGCTAAACAAGGAAACACAAAGAATGCATATGTTTCTATTTAATGAAACTCAAGAACAGGTGAAACTAATCTATGGTACTGGAAAGCAGAACGGGTTGTTGCCCATGGCGGTGGGTCATGAGGGAATTAAGTGGGGTGGTGGCAATGTTCTCTGTCTTGTGTGGTGGTGGTTATTACATGGACTTACGTGTGTATCGAAAGTCCTCATACTCCTAAAATCTGTGTTTTTCACCAGCTTTAAATTTTACCTTTATGTGATTTTATGAAAAAAAAGACACATAAGAACAATAACAATAAAGACATTTTGCACACATGAAATTGTCAAGCGAGTCGTTTCTGTACATTGATTCTTCTTGTAAATGGTTGTGTAACAGGTATTTCCAGGGCAAAGGGCAAGGTGGATGACACAGCCACCCAATACGGAGAAGCCACATCCTACTGGACAGTCCAATGCCCTTTACAGCATGCAGCTGTAACCCAGTGTGTTAGAACTGTGTTTAGTGAGGGGTGCCTGGGTGGCTCAGTTGGTTAAGCGTCTGCCTTTGGCTCAGGTCACGATCCCAGGTTCCTGGGATCCAGCCCCGCATCGGGCTCCCTGCTCCGTGGGGAGCCTGCTTCTCTCTCTCCCTCTGCTGCTCCCCCTGCTTGCGCTATCTCTTTCTGTGTCAAATAAATAAATAAAATCTTTAAAAAAAAAAGAAATGTGTATAGTGAACAAAAAATAACACCGATAGTCATCAGCTCCACTCTATACGGAAAGCAACTGGGAGTCAGACCTCACTCTGGAGGGACAGGAGCTGCCTTTTCCCAAAACCTTGGGCTGAGAAGGGCTCCTCCTCTAAGCACATGGCATGGGGACCATGAACCCGGACAAACCTCGAACTCCACCAACAAGAAAGAAGTGGGGTGGCTTTGGGGGCAACCAATACTTCCTGCTACACCTCCCATTCTTCCCAGCTCCATAGCTACTCTTTTCAAGTCCCATGTCAATGTCCAGATCCAAGTGCCATGCACAACCCCCAGGTGAAATGGCTTTTCCTTCCAATGTGCAAACCTCCTCTGGAAGATGGGGAACCGCTGGCTCACAATTTTCTGTGCTCAGGGTTCTATCCTCTTGGAAGTGCCTCATTACTCAAGGCCAGGGCCCAGATCCTCCCAAAGCGTCATGGGCACCATATGATCTATGTAACTAGGATTACAGTTCACCTATTATTTCACATCTGTGGGAGAGCTCAACTTGGTTAAGTGCAAATTCACGATTGTCTAGGAGCTTTCCCTTTTATGTTACCACCATGTCTTTAAGTTTCCTAGTTATTGCTCCCCATGGGGGTGTGTGTGCGGTTTATGAGTTTCCTTGGCCATAGAAAGAGGACTGTCTCCCTGGCACGGGCTGGATGGGGTGCTGAGCAGAGTGGCAAACATGACTACCACTTGGATGATGATGGATGTGTGAAGATGGCCTGCTGCTGTCTGGCAGTTCTCAACAGACACAGTGAAAAAGAAAGCTGAGCTCAGGGGGGAGGCCAGGCTACTCCCTGGAGATTGGCATGGCTGAGCTTGTTAGTGTGGGGGCTTGGAGATATCTTGAGCTCACATTCTCTTAACCACTCAGGACCTCCCCTCCCCCCTTCCCACTACTGGCTTTCTTTATCTAGTCTAGGGGGCTGGAAATTTCTTTCAGGTGTGTATCTGAACTCTTTGGGTCCCATTCTCAGACTGCAGGCTTTGTATTTTGGGTTTTGTTTTCTAATTCTCCAGTGGCTGACCTGTGTCTAGCTTTTTGGGTTGGGGGCATGGGCAGTGTGGGTGGAGTGGGAGCAAACTGATGGAAAAGACAAGTTGAACAAAGGAAGTCTGAGTGGGAGAAGGGGGGTGCAGGAGAGAGAGAGGAGAACATAAGATTAATATTTCTTTGCAATATCATCCAGCCCCAGCCATATATACAAGTAGAAGTAGGAACTTAATTCAGTATGTACTACAAAATTACTCCCATGAGGTGGAAGGGTTGATGCAACTTCCAAAGAATACTGAGAATTGATTGAATGAGGATGGTATAGATTACTCGCTGCTTGTAAGGGTTCTCCAAAATGTCAAGTAAACCCATTATCTTCCTCACCAACTGCCTTGCCTATAGTTGATCTAATTAGCCCTTTGCCCTCATTAAAATGGGTGTATTCTTTGATTACAGCGGTGTAATACTGTCTAAAGCAGTGCGAACAGCACTTTCTGCAATGATGGAAATATTCTATATCTACATTGTTCACTGCAGTAGCCATCAGCCACATGAGGCTATTGAGTATTTGAAATATGGCTAGTATAGCTGAGGAACTGAATTTTTAGTTTTATTTAATTTTATCAATTTAAATTTATTTATTTATTTTAAAGATCTTATTTATTTATTTGACAGAAAGACAGCGAGAGAGGGAACACAAGCAGGGGGAGTGGGAGAGGGAGAAGCAGGCTCCCCATGGAGCAGGGAGCCCGATGCAGGGCTCTATCCCAGGACCCTGGGATCATGACCTGAGCTGAAGGCAGATGCTTAATGACTGAGCCATCCAGGTGCCCCTAATTTTATCAATTTAAATTTAAATAGCCATGTGACTACAGGTCTCCTCTACTAGACAATGCAGGTCTACAATTTACCTATGTGTTCTGGTAAAATGTGAAAGGGCTTCATACTGCCCCAGCTGCTGAACAAATCAGTATTCCACACGATATAGAATGGGTGCTCGATAAACCCTCATTGAAATACCTAAAATGCTACCCTTGAATGAAGTGGAGGGGCTTGGGTTTTATAATATAACAGCAGTTAAGGATTAAGGGGGGTTGGAGCAGAAAAAATTGCTCTTGCCAAGTCTCTCCATCTCCTCAGGTGAAATGCGGGACGTCCCTTCCAGAACCAAGGATGTGTTCTTGGGAGGCAGTTCCATTTTGTGTAGTAAGGTGCTACACATAGTTACCAGGTAAGGGAAAGCTACATTTCAAGTGAATCAGGAGAATATCTTGTTGCTAAAAGGTAGGAGGACTTGGAGATTCTTGGTGATGAACCATCACTTTCCAAAGTGTAGACGGAATTTATTTATAAGAACCAAGCTGCATCTCATGGTCTGGCTTAGACAATTCCCCAAAAACTTTTCCCTGAATCCAGGAAACTGCATCTACCCCTCATTAGATGATGAACTCTCTTGGACAAATATTGCCCAAAATTGTATTTTGCTAAGCTTCTGTGGCCTGTAGGCCTTCCTTTCTCTAACCACTGCATCCAATCAATCAAGTCCTGCTGAGCTTCTCTCTCAAATACTATCAAATCTGTTCATTCCTTTCTCTCCTGGTTTCTGTTGCTTTGGTCAGAGCCCAGCTTCTGCTGGACCATTGCTGAGGGCTCCTTCCTGCTGCTCTCACACTCCTCTATTCAGGATCATGGTGCACAGTTGGGCAGTTTGCACACCGCACACACAGCCTGCATTCCTGTGCCCTAGTGTGGACTTCATTTTCTGGAGAGAATACCTTTGTGATTTGCACACGGGTGCCATGTAATCTTAGTGGTATAGACCTGCACTGTCTAAGACAGTAGCCACTAGCTACACGTGGTTACTTACATTGTAATTAATGAAAATAAGCAAGATTTAACGTTCAATTCCATAATCATACTAGCCACATTGAGAGTGCTCAATAGCCACATGCGGCTAGTGGCTACTGTATTGAACAGTGCAGAAAAAGAAAATTTCTTTTGCCACTATTGCCACAAGTTTTGTTGGACAGCACTGGATAGACTCCGCTTCTAAACCCCTCTCTATACAATTTGCTAGGGTGAATGATCTTTAATGCAAATCTAAATATGTCCCTCTCTTGCTTAAATCCTTCAGTGATTTCCACTTCCATCAGCAGCGATCAGTTCGCAGGTGGTGAATCAATTTTGTGGGTCACAACCAGCGTAAGAACAAAACCAAGCTTATGACACTCTGTGATCTGAACCCCCGCTAACCCGGAACTCTCAAAACTGTTTTGTGCTAGGTTCCGTTAATTTAGAACTGCTGGTGATTTCAGCTGAGACACTGAGCTTTTTTTCTTTTCTTTTTTTTTTCTTTCCTTTCCTTTCCTTTCCTCCCTCCTTCCCTCCCTCCCTCCCTCTCTCTCTCTCTTTCTTTCATCTATGCGTCTTTGCTCAAGCTGAACCCTCTCTTAGGAGTTCTGGTTCTACCTTCTCTTTGCCTGGACTTCTACTCATCACATACGCCTCAGCTTAAGAAACATACTCCAGGAATCCTGCTCTGAACGCTGCAGAACGGGATGGATGCCCTTCTCTGACCTTTCATCAGGAGCCGCAGACTTCCGTTAACAGGGTTATAATACCGTAATGATTTATTTAAGTGTTCGTTTCCGGCACTATACTAAGTTCTTTCAGCGCAAGTACTATGTTTCCTATCTTTGTATCTCAAAGGGGAAGCCCAGCGCCTGAAACATACTAGGCACTCATTCAATAAATATTTGTTCAAAGAATGAACGAGGGAAGGAAAAGAAAATAGATCAATCTACTGCGCGGACAATGTAGGTGCATCGTAGGCTTCGGCCATCAGAGGGCGCCGGCGCACCTCGGCTGGTGCGCAGGCGCGCAGAGAGGGCGGGCGCCGAGACGGCGGCAGCGGCGGCGGCGGCGGTCGTGGCTGAGGCCGGGGGAAGTGAATGGTTTTACCCAGAGGGCCCTGCGCCGCCTTTCTCCGCTGGCACCGGCGCCGCTGCCTGCTCCTCCTTCCCGGCCATGGCGTTCACGTTCGCGGCCTTCTGCTACATGCTGGCGCTGCTGCTCACCGCCGCGCTCATCTTCTTCGCCATCTGGCACGTGAGTAGCCGGGGCCGGGGGAAGAAGGGCGAGGAGGCGGCGCAGCTTCTTCTCGCCCCGCGTCTTTGGTCCGGGCGGCGACGGCCCCCGGAGGTCCGCGCGCCGGGGGATGGGGCCGAAGCGGGACAGGCCGCGCGGCGAGGGCTCTGCGAACCCTCCGTCTGCGGGCCGGGGGCTGCAGGTCCAGGCTTCGGTGGCCCGATGGATGCGCCCGCTGTGCCCCCTCTCAGGCCGCGCGCGCCGCTACTCCTCCCTGGATGGGTGGGGCGGCCGCGGTTCTGCGGGGCCCTGCGGGACAGCGCTTGCTGGCGTGGACCTTAGCCGGCCCGGGGCTCGGCATCCCCGCATCCCCGGGGAGGATGTCAAGGGCGCACGGAGGCATGCTGCGTGCTTAGCGGGAATGAAGTTTGCCGAATTACAATTATTTAATCACATTGTCTTTCTTTTCGGGTTTCCGCTGGAGTATGGCCCCAATGAGATAGTATAGCCTACTTTAGATGAATTTCCAACTCTATTTTCAGCACTTGTTGGGCGCTCTTCGAGTAGAATGCCCCCCCTTTTTTTCTCCAGATTTTGTTTCCTTGTGAACTTTGATGCAGATTGGATTGATCACTTTGTTGACTGCATCTCCGAACTTTTCCCCTAAATCATACTTTGACCGCCAGAGTTTGTCAAGAGACACTCTTCCTAGCCACCTCTGTATTCAGGGTAGCTGGATTTAGTGGAGGTAGTTTTAATTTGACTTCGAAAATGCTCACAAATCTTAAACTTCCTTAGGGCAGTTTTTCTTCTTTTTTCTTTCTTTTTTTCTTTTACTTACATCTTGCTGCAGGATAGAAGCACATCCTTACTGGTTACTGTAAGGAACAAGTAAGTTCCCCGTGACAGTTCTACAACAGATTTTTAAGGATTCTTGTTTCTCTAGCACAAAATTAGAAGCAGCCTTCTGGAAGTCAGCATTCATTAAAAATGTATCTTATATTTGCCTCTGCCCTCCTCATATTCTTTTAGTGACTTCTGGAATATCAGTCCTCTTTTGAATGATTGGACATGTTCATTCATGTAAATTTTAAGTCAGGTTTCATCATGCCAATAACGAGGATTTCTTATGGAACATAGCCTGGCAAAGTGATTTAAATGGCAGCAGTGTCTTGTGTTAAAAAAAAAAAATCTCAGAAGTAGAATACTACAAATTATTCTCTTTTGATAAGGAGTGTGATTATGTTCATAATTATTTTGGAACCTAACTGCTCTATAGTGGGGAATGCTTAGGTAGGCTGTTCGGTAACTGCTCCCTCAAAATACTTGTCAGTAGGAACCAATAAATTAAGAGCACTTTAGGTTCTTTGGTGGAAGAACAATAAATAAAGATCATTTGGAATGCAAACTAGCTCCACATTTCACTGGTGGAAGTGAAATGTGTGGCTCCCTTCCATTTGTAGATATGGATTTAAGTCACTTCCTGCTTGGTGGGTACTCTTTGTTTTTTGAAATGATGAGGATTCTAAGAAAGAAAGCTGTGGATGGCCTTGTTTACATTTTGAACCAGGTTGTTTGGCTTAAGGAAAATCTGAACTGCGTTGAAAATAAAAATGGGTAATTTGGTGGCTCGGTTGGTTAAGTGTATGCCTTCTGCTCAGGTCATGATCCTAGGGTTCTGGGATCCAGTTCCGAATCCGGCTCCCTGCCCAGTGGGGAGTCAGCTTCTCCCTCTGCCCCTTACTCTGCTTATTCGCTCTCTCTCTCCCTCCTTCTCAAATAAATAAATAAAATCTTAAAAAAAATAAATTAAAAAATGGGTAACTTAGTTTCAGCATTGAAATGAGAATGTATCGGGTGAAGTAGGTAATTTTAAGTCCTATTATAGAATTTTTAAAAATTCATTTGTACTCCACAGATTAGTGGCGAGCTTTTATCCTTGGGGATTTCTTCATAGTTCAGAGGATTATGCATCCTTTGGGAACAAATTGAAAATTCTAAAGTATATAATTTTAGTTTTTCTATTAACTACATAACCTTCAGTTTATTTTCTTAGGTAGTTTAAGTATCAGAAGACTCACTTGGAAATTTAAAGTAGAAATTCAAAGAATCCTGTTTACATTAATCATTTTATGGAGGATACTTTTTGTGCTGTTGGTTACATCTGTCAGTTTAGTACTAATTCATGTGATTGATACTCTGTGGAGAGTAGATGGGAGCATAGGTTTGTTTGAACAGAAGTCATTCCCTAAAGACATGTGTCAGATTTGAATGTATCCTGAATTGCATAGTTTGATATCTTTAGGGATATATCTGTTTTGTTTTTGCACTCTGTTGGAAATTTTGTGAACATCTTTGTCCAGACGCACAGTCAGAAAAGATACAAAAACCAGTAGGTTAATCTTTTCAGAAGAGTTTGAAAACAGCTTATAGCATTTCAAACAGAAGCTCATGCAGTAACATACTCATTAAAAGATCCCTTGAAATCACCTGAAGAAAATGTCCAGTCAAGAGTTAGTTTTAAAACATAAGTTTTATACTCTTAAATTGGATCTTGTTATAGGCAAGTAATTTAATTTGCAATGAGAGTCCTTATTTTGAACTTTATTACTAAGATGCATTGGGGATATATCACACAGCAAATGTCAGGTATTTGATTAATAATATCTGTTAAATAATCAGAAATTAGTATCTTCTAGATGTATGATATTTTTAACATTTTTAACATGTGTTAGGTTTCATTAACAAGGGCAAATGCCTTTTGGTGAGTTCTGTATTCTTTTTAAGCTAGGATTTCATTCAGTAAATATTGATTGAACATTTAAGTATGAGCCAGGCCCAGGGACATAGCAGTGAGCACAGCAAAAATCTTTGCTGTCATGGAGTTTACATCTTAATGTCGAATGATTTTCTTCTGTTTCTGTTTTAGTTAGAATTTTTATTTGGTCTGGTTGGTGGATTTTGTAAAATTCTAGAAATTAAAAAAAAAAGAACAACCCATCTTTTTATGAAGTGAAAAACTTTAACAGGGAAATAAACCAGCATAGTAAAAGCTAGAAATATAGAACTCCATTGATTACCGGTAATACTGAGTAACATGGTCTTACATACAAAGATACTACTCCTAACCCACCAGGGGAAAGGCAGACTGAGTTATCTCCTGGATGACCAGTGACAGCAACTAAAATAACTCTCCTATAAACTTGGTGCCTTTGGCTTCTTATTTTGACATCTGACTTAATACCACAGAGTGGGGTGTTGTCCTTATTTTGATTTTTAGTACATTTTGACTTTGAAGTTCTGTTAAGTGACCCTAAATGTTACACCCACATTTCTCCAGAGTGTAGACAAACATTCTTGTCATATATTTCCTAAGTGGATGAGATCTTTCTCCCCTTATCACATTTATAACTGACTCCTCATACCGTGAGAAGCTGGTCTTACCTGGGTTACCCTTTGTCAGTCTTTGGTTTGGTGACCTCATGAAACCACCCGCAAGTGTAGGGCTATGCATAGGACACAAAAGGAGGTTAGACTGATCACTTTTATCCTGGCCTTGAACAGTGCTGCTCTTGCTTATCTGATGCCTTTAGGTGCATTAGAACAAGATGCCTCTTGGGGCAGAAGAATTAGAAAAATCCTCCACAGATGCGGCCCCTCAGTGCAGAGCCTGGTGTAGAGTCCATGCCAGGGTGCTTTTTTTTTTTTTTTTTAAAGATTTTATTTATTTATTTGACCAGAGAAAGAGATAGTGAGAGCAGGAACACAAGCAGGGGGAGTGGGAGAGGGAGAAGCAGGCTCCCCGCAGAGCAGGGAGCCCGATGCGGGGCTTGATCTCAGGACCCTGGGATCATGACCTGAGCCGAAGGCAGACGCTTAACGACTGAGCCACCCAGGCGCCCCCATGCCAGGGTGCTTGACAGCAGGAGCACGGGCTGGCTTTGAGCTTCCCACCTTGGCCTTTTGTCCCATGCAGGAAGGGCGCTAGTCTATGTGGTGGCCTGGCCATGAAGTTTAATAATCATTTGGTGAATATGCTGAGGCCATTTCTTGTATTTCGTTATTGAAGCAGGACTTTGAAATGTGTGTGTTTGGGCACAATGGGAACAAATTGAAGCGCATGAGTCCATCTCTAGTGTCCCACTGAACTATGTGCCAGGGGCAGGGCATGCACATATGATTAAAAATACCTCACCCTGAGGGGCACACAAACCTGTACACAGATACCCCAGTCGGAGAAACGCCATATTGGTAGCACTGTAAAGCCCTGTGCTCTGTGGCTACTAGACAGGTAGGCAATCATTTCTGCCCCAGGGAGTCGGGGAAACCTACAGAGAGGAGTTGACATAGGAAGAGGGTTTTTAGGGTGAAAAGTTTTGATAGATAGAAAAGATCATTTCAAGAAGAGAAAATGACTTGAACAGAGGTATTGAAAATTGAAGATATTTATCACAGTGATACCAGCTCATTTAAATGACATTGGTATAAACATGTTCTCAGTTCTTTAAATCTGATTCTAGTTATTTATTAGTACATAGTGAATTTACTATAAATTGGTACATGCAGTATTGGTATACTTTTGCTTTTGTTTTATTAGCTTTATTCAATTGTCATTTGATGATGGGGCAGGTTTGTTGCTTTTTATTAAAGGTCCTAACTGATTTTAATTTTATTTTAGATTATAGCATTTGATGAACTGAAGACTGATTACAAGAATCCTATAGACCAGTGTAATACCCTGAATCCTGTAAGTTATAAATATAGGATTTTTCTTTAGATTTTTAAACTGTTTTTGCTTTTAACTTAATTTATTTTGAAAATGGCCAATATTCTCAGTAGCATGATATATTTGTACTTTTTGAAGTAGGCAGAATTTACAAAAATATTCTTTTTCCTGCTTGACTATTCTGACTATTATTAATCTGCCAGTGATCTTGTCAGCTGTCATACTAACATTCTTCCAATCTGCTTTTTACATTGTCGGCCAAAGACAGTTGAAAAGGTCAAAAAGATTAAAAGAGTCAAAATTGCATTAAAGGTGTGTACTGCTTTTTAGTTTAATGTTTTAATGCTACATTCATTTCATGGGGAGGGTCAGGGCATTTGTATTTGTAAAATGTTCTGTTCAGTGTCCTCGTTCATATGCCTGTTGAGGTTTATGATTTCATGAAATTTTGCATTTTATGCAAATGTTTGCTTGCTGGCCCAGTCAAGTAGGGAAAGCTGTTAAATGCTTATGCATTTTTAAAAATGCTAGAGCCATAGGCACTTCTATATTAAGTTATTTGGTGCAGTGTTTGAAAGTTAGTTAACTTAAAATGACTTTAATAGATGGTAAGAAGATTCTTCTGTTGTGACTTATTGGGAGGTAGTCTGGAAGTGGAGTCTTCAGTACCATGTCTGCTTTTATCTTTGGTTATGTCTGTTCTGGAATTAATTATTCACTCTTTCAGCTGATGTTTATTCAGCACCTTCTAGGTGATAGCTCTTTCCTTAGGCTCTGGAATCTTGCACTAGTGCTGACCTTCGGACTCATGCTGCCAGAATTTTGTGGATAACAATTTGTATACAAATGTCTACATAGTTATTTCTAATATATATCCACTCTAAATTTCTAAGACAGACTTGTCTTACACTAAGTTCTGAGCTCGGATGGATTTAGTTATAATGTGGCTCCCTTGTGGTTAGGGGTTTATATATATTTTTGACTTCATTTAGTTTACTCATTTAGGAGGATTCTCCTTTGGTCTGTAGGTTTGATTTTGCCTAATTGGTCAGAAGCTGAAAGGTTGTTTGTAAGAAAGCAGTGGGTATGTCTCCAAGCAATAAAATACAATAATTCATCTTTAAAAATTACTTAAGATGAGAACTTGTGTAGACTTTAGTTGTGTAAAACTGTAAGGCATAGCACGCCAGAGGGATTTTATTTGGAAAAGGGTCTATAAAGTGAGTTTGCTACTTTATCATTGTTTCCTTGATAAATACGAGCGATGGGGTAGATTTCTAGTTTGTCTTCAAAGAACTGCTACAGAAGACTTGATGTAGGTACAGTTAAAAGTATTAACTTACTAGCCGCTTCTCTGCTCTTACGAAACAAAATAGGTGACGAATCGGCTTTCTTGTTGGAAAGTAATACTGTTGATTGTAAAATATCTTAACCTACCGTTGAAACTAATTGTTACCAAGAGTTTAAGAAACCGAAATTTCTTTTTTTGATGGTTGTTCATTAATAGTATTCTGTCTTCTTTGGCTTTTCATTACTTCAAATAATCAAATGAGGATGAGGAGCTGAAATCAGATGAGGGCTTTTCTGGGCACCAGGCTCTGTGCTAAGCATCTTTACTTGGGCTTTTTCATTCAGTGCTCCTGACCTGTCTGAAGGGTAGGTATATTGATATTCTCATGAATAGGAGGGTAGGCTGAGGCTTAGCAGGGTTGAAGCACTTTACCAACAAGGTCACATAGCTAAGGTAGAACCAGCATTTGAACCCAGACAGCTGGATTTTTACACTCAAGCTTTGCTATTCCCCTAATTTACCGTAAATTTAAGAGGGACTAATTTCATTTTTACATTTAATGTGTGATTTCTGACTCTTCTTCATGGAAGGAAATTCTCACTTAAAAAAGACATGTGCTTGGGACCTCCTAATGCTGCATAGATTGGAAGAAGTTTTTATATCAGCACATGTTGCGTTTGGATAGGGTGCCGATAATTGGCTTACTAGCAGCGCATCTGACAGTTTTCCCTATCTAAAATTTGTTTTGACAATTCTGCCAAAGTATGGGGGAAGACAAATATTATTTTTTTAAAATGTGAACCTTAACTAGAGAATATTATGATTTGCATGTTAAGTACTATCATTTCAGCCATATTTGCATGAGGAATTTTTTTGGCTACTAGCTTTTGTGTAAACATTGGTTCCTAAATGGAATAATTTTTGTGCCACTTATGGGGAAATTTCACCATGAAACAATGATTGGAGTGGACTGGTTTTTATAAGAGATGCATTATAAAAGTTTCTGGACTTTTTTGAGGAGAAGGGAGTGTGGCATGTGTTTCATATTAGAACCGGAAGAGTTGCAGATTATCTGTAGTCTTGCTCTTACTAAAGCATATTGTTTAAGAGCAGTAGGTATTGTGCTTTCAGAGTCATTTTCTCCCCATATCTCAGTCTGGAAGTGTAGGATGAAAACGTGGATGATGATTTATATTGTTAGATATCACTTGGCTTTAGAGAGCTGAAATAGACTTATATTGTAAAGAAAAATCCTGTAATTTAAACTAGCATTATAAACAGCTCTAGTGGAACTCCTAATACAATATATATTTTTCTTGGTTTGTCCTGGTTGCAGTCCTTGTGTTTCAAGGATTTCCTGTAGACGTTTTCTTGTTTTCTTGCAGATGTTTGATTTTGATCTTAATTAAATGGTGTGGCTTAATGGTTCGTGCTATTTACAAGTTTATATACATATGCAGAGTTTATCTTTTGTTATTTATTATATTGCTTAAGTTTGTAGAAGGTACCTGGTTAGTGATGTAAATTAGTTGGTTTTACTGGGTTTCATTTAAAATATTCATTAAAAAAACTTTGCTTTACAGCTTTGAAGTGGAAAAAGTGATTTGGGAGTATTAGAAAGTGGGCTTGAATATGTAGTATAATTGTTATTTCTACAGCAACGGTTTCCTCTCAGGAATGATCTGATGATACTGAGGATTCATATAATTTTACTTTGATCTGATGCAGACATTTGAGAAGCTGGCTTTGCATCTGTGACTTGTAGGAAGTTATTTAGCTGAAACTTGCAATGAAAAGTTTGGGACTTTCATTTAACAGAGTCATTAGGCTGAAGTCTTTAGGATGAAAAAGATAATTAAAGCATGAACTCTTGGTCATCTTATAAAAAGCATTTTGCTTCAAATAATTTTTCTCATTTAGTACCACCTACAGTCAAAAAAATCATTTTGTTTTTGAGTTCTGAGCTTCTCCTGGTCTGCTGTGTCTGTGTAGTTCATTGGAAAGCAGGCTTAAAGAAACAGAAAGGCCATGTAAGAATCAGAGCTCAGGAACCAGGAAAATTCCAGTTTTATGGTTCAGAACTGTCTTTTCCCTCCTACATTGCAGAATGCACATCGTTTGCATCTGTGTTCTTTCCCCCCTGACTGTGCTGAGATTATTGGCTTTTGGCTTTCCATTGAAAAATTACTTTTGTGGTAATGTGATGTGGTTTGCTAAATATTGTTTATATAGCATTCCTGGTTTCTGTTAAAAGCTTTAAAACACTAATGTGTAAAGTTTTCTAAACGGGAGTTTTGTTTTTGTGGATTTTTTTTATATCATGTTGCATGTGATCAGATACCTCATTTTTGTATTTTTATCATTACTGAATGGTGGAAAGAAAAAGTATTCCAAGTGATCAGCAAATAACTGAACCGTCTGGGTGGTAACTGTATAATTTAACCTGTTACTGTAAGAATTTGAGTTTTAAATTTTAAGTTCTGTTTATTCTTTCAGAGCAAGCTATATCATCTGGTCAGTTTGCTTGTAATTCTGCTTTTGGTAAAAAGTTAAATACAGAAACAGACCTCAGTAGCATCGTTTGTGCCCGATTCTAAGAAAACAGTGATTTTTTTTTCATTATGGAAACTTGGTTGCCACCTGCTTTCCAAATTAGCATTTGACTTACCGCCAAGGCATTTTAATAACTGGCTTGTATTTTTCTTCCAGCTTGTACTTCCAGAGTACCTCATCCATGCTTTCTTCTGTGTCATGTTTCTTTGTGCAGCAGAGTGGCTTACGCTGGGTCTCAATATGCCCCTCTTGGCATATCATATTTGGAGGTAATATTTAGATATATTTCTAATACTTTTCCTAATTATATTTTAATTATACTATGGTTGATACAGTTATCTTGCATGCTAGTCACCTAAATGAAAACTGAAAATTGGTTGGCATTTATTTTAAAAATTAAGTAGATGAACAAAGCACTGCTTCAATACCTTTTATGGAGCTTACTTTGTTACTCTTTAAAGGTGTTTTTCAAAAAGTGAGGTTTAATTTACATACAATAATATGCATAAGTCTGAAGCCCCATCCCTGTCAGTTACCCCTGCACCTCCCTGGGACAGCAGTGACCTCTGTCAACTTGGATTAATTTTGCCCATCTTTGAACTTCACATATATCAAAATGTACAGTGTATCTAACTTATTTCTCCATGTTTATTTTATGATTTTAAATTTGGTTGTTTATAAAATATGTTCATATTTCGTAACTTTTAAAAGTATGTCTGATCTATATAATAGAGTTAGAGGTTTTTTTTTTTTAATAGGAATGTTAGAATCCTCATTGCTCTTGATTTTAGGAAATATACTTCAGCAGTGTTTAGGTGTCAAGTGGTATGACATCTGTAACTGAGTCTGAAATTGTTTTGTAAACACTGTGTGCATATTTGGAGCTAAGACCAAAAAGAGAAGGGTAAAGCTGTGTGGTTAATGTGAGCATTTGGAATATTCTGCTGAAGTGTTCTTGCACCCTTTCTGTAAGCCTAAAATTATGTTAAAAAGTTAAAAGAAAATCTTACTTCCTTTTTACAGTTTTCTTTTTCTTATATTTATGAAATTGTTGGGGAGACCAGATAGGACTTTTTTAACTGTCCTGGTCTCATATAGGGGCTCTTGTTTTGAAATTAAGATGGTAAGAGGAAAGAACTCCACCCTGGAACTAAACTCCTGCTTCCCTGTGTGGACCACCTCTCATTGCAACAAATGTTACTTGAGAGGAAAACCCCTCCTTCCCATCTCAAAGGTTGTCTTCCCTTTTGGAGCGGCTAACCGACTGTGTTTATTACAGGTATATGAGTAGACCAGTGATGAGTGGACCAGGACTCTATGACCCTACGACCATCATGAATGCAGACATTTTAGCATATTGTCAGAAAGAAGGCTGGTGCAAATTAGCTTTTTATCTTCTAGCATTTTTTTACTACCTATACGGGTAAGTTTAAAAAATAAAATGAATATATGATTTCATTTTCCTTCCGAAAAAGTTTGCAGGCATTATGGTCTTAACACCTTAAAGTCCACTTGAAGAATAACTCAGTGTCTTGAATGGTGGTGACCAGTAACGGCGCTGTGCACACCGGCAAACGCTCGCACACTGAACAGGAATAAATGGGTACTTGGCAAGGGCGGCCAGCTGCTGCATAGTCTGCGGCAGAAAGTTTGAGCAGGGGTGCTGCTTCCTAAACTTTTGGACACAGTGCGTCAGTGAAGGATAATCCTCATTCGCCATGGCAAAGTGATGGCCCTGAGAGGATTGCAAAAAAGTGTGAGTTTGCAAAAAACCGTTTGCCTGGCTTCACTGTCTATCTTGAGATGGTGTTTAATTTTTTGTCATTTTTGCAAACTGTATGCTCTACCCTTTATTTTCTGGCTTGCTTGACCTGAATGGGATGAATGAAAGAAACGGATCTGTCCTATATGATGGTGCAGTTATCGATTCTTCAGCCTTTGTACCCTGATGGACTCATACATTCCTCCAGGTCGGGGTTTCTCAACCTCAGCACTGTTGACATTTTGGGCTGGATAAATCTTTGTTGTGGGGGCTCACCTGTGCATTGTGGGATGTGGAGCAGTGTCCCTGGCCTCCACCCAGTAGACACCAGCAGCACCTCCTCTCCTGCAGTCACCAAAACTAAAAATGTCTCTGGACGGTGCTGAATGCTCCCTGTGGGGCAAAAACCAGCCCTGGTTGAGAACCACCACCCTAGGTGTCCTGTAGATTCTCATTAAAACGAGAAAAGGATGCTCGCAAGTGTGGAATTATATTTCTTTAGGCTACATAAATACCCTTTCTCATCTTTTATTGACATATATTCAACCAGAGAGGACATCCCACCTGATTTTCGAACAATGAAGAAGATGGGCTGTATAAGATGGAATTGTAATCATTCAGCTTCTTTCTATTCCCCTCTCCTTTTTGTTACTTGAAAACTTGCTAAGTATTAGATGGTAGGTTTATATTCTTATTTCTTTTTGTATCATATAAGTTTCTATTATGGAAGACGATGAAGTGCTAGACCGAAATTTATGAAAAAGGTACGTTTATGCTTTTAGAGGTTATAATTGTGAAAATGAGTATCCTTTAGTGCATTTACAGGTGCTCATTTATGAAACAGAAATAATAAGTTCTGAAAAGTGAAATGCCAGGTGTCATTTTCATTTCCTGCTAATTTTCATTTTTTCAGTTTCTTTAACAAATGTCTGGAACAGTGCTGGCATATAGCAGGCACTTCAGATGTATTTGTGGAGGGGCACCTGGGTGGCTCAGTCGGTTAAGTGTCTCACTCTTGATCTCAGCTCAGGTCTCAATCTCAGGGTCATGATTTCAAGCCCCACGTTGGGCTCCATGCTAGTGTGGAGCCTACTTAATTAAAAAAAAAAAAAAAAAGACATGTTGAAAGAAAGACACGAATCATTGACTAAATGATAAAATTGGAGATGTATAGTTGTGGGAAAATGTTCACCAGGAGATGGTGGCACTAGGTCATTTCATTTCTGCTTTAAATTGTTTATCGAGTTTGCACAACCCTTTGCTTTGTATTTCCATTTAGAGATCTGTGCTTTTGAACCGTGCCTTTCCCACATCACTCTGGTAGAATTGCCCTGAATTATTGTTTTTATTTTGCTCATTTGTGCCCTTTTTCAACCCGTTGCTGTTGTCTAGAGCCTTTCCCTCTTGGGGAAGTTTCTTAATTGACCATTCCCATCTGTAAAATGGGGGATAATAATCGTACCCACCTCCTAGGACTGCTTGGAGGATTCAGTGAGGTCATTACATAAAAGATCTAGTGGAGGGCCTGGCATGAAGTGAGCCCTCCGGAGATGCTCGCTGCTATTATTAGACAACTCCAGGGCAGTGCACTGTTTGGATTGCTTCTCTAAGCTCTGATCCCCTATTAAGCTTTCAGCTGTGCTGTTCTACTTGCTAAAATTGGAAAAGAAATAGGGAATAACCACAGCACATGCATTGAGCCAAGTCCTACCTTAGGCAGAAGTCCATAAATGCAAATTGAGATCGTACCGTGAACTGGTCATTGGTCTTTTCATTTTCTGTGGTGGCGTGACACCATAAACCAGTTTGCTATGTAAAGCAGTCTCAACTTTTTGGTGCTTTTAGTTTTTATAGTCAGGAATGTTTGAATTAATAGGCTTTTTCTTCTTTTCAGCATGATCTATGTTTTGGTGAGCTCTTAGAACAACACACAGAAGAATTGGTCCAAAGTGCATGCAAAAAGCCACCAAATGAAGGGATTCTATCCAGCAAGATCCTGTTTCCAAGAGTAGCCTATGGAATCTGATCAGTTACTTTAAAAAATGACTCCTTATTTTTTAAATGTTTCCACATTTTTTGCTTGTGGAAAGACTGTTTTCATATGTTATACTTGGATAAAGAATTTAAATGGAATTACGTATAAATTAATATAAAATGATTACCTCTGGTGTTGACAGGTTTGAACTTGCACTCCTTAAGGAACAGCCATAATCCCATGAATGATTGCATTAATTATTGACTATCCTTAGTCCATTGGAAGCTTTTGTTATATATAGGAACTTGTAGGGCTCATTTTGGTTTTATTGAAATGCCATCTAATTATAAATTAGCTGTAGATATCAGGTGCTTCTGATGAACTGAAAATATATATCTGACTTGTGGGAAACTTCATGGGTTTCCTCATTTATCGTGTATGTGATTATATATGGACATATTTACAAAATAAGAGTGGGATTTTTTTCCCTCCAACTTGAATATTATCCCTGTATATTGCATGAATGAGAGATTTCCCATATTTCCATCAGAGTAATATACTTGCTTTAATTCTTAAGCATAAGTGAACATGATATAAACATATATGCTGATTTACTTGTGAAGAATGCATTTAAAGCTATTTTAAATGTGTTTTAATTTGTAAGATATCATTTATAAAGAAATTGATTATTATACTTAACTGTTCTAATCTGGTGGTAAAGGTATTCTTAAGAATTTGCAAGTACTTTAGATTTTCAAAACTGAATGAGAGAGAACATTGTATAACCGTCCTGCTGTTCCTTTAGTGCAATACAATAAAACTCTGAAATTAACTTATTTTCAGTGCATTGTTTTAAAGATTACAAATAGCTATTTCTTACACTTGCTTAATACATAATAAAGACATATTACTGTCAATTTTTTAAAAAAATAGTAGAGTATGACATTGTATGTGTGCGTGTTTGTTGTTTTTTAAATACCATGCTTGCATCTAAAAAGGAATATTTTTAAATGGCTAAGCACATTACCCTCTGTTGTCACTTGACAGGATTCATAAACATGGATGGCACAGCATCATCATTTTTCTTAACCAATTTAAAAAATTGTGGCATTTAAAATGTTAAAAAAATTTTTTTTCCTTTTTGAAACAGCACGTTTCAAGGAAAAATGACTTGTTAAATTTGAGTTTTTGCTGCTGCTTGTAAGGTAGGTAAATTGTGGCTTGCATGTTTTGGGAAGAATTCTTGTGCTTTATTTGGAATGAAGTAGTTAAGGCAATTGAAAATAGTGTAAGTGATTCAGAAGTTTCTTAAAACATCAAAGGAAGAAAACCAATACCTAGGAATTCCACATAATGCTCAAGTGAGTTTATGGATGAGTTTGTGGAGTTCCTACTCCTTGAATTAGATGCTGTTGAATTCTTGGCTAGTGAGACAATGCCTCCCCACCTTTGGGAGAGTAGCTGTTAACATCTTGGGATTGTGTAACAGGGTGAGTGTGCTGAAGAAGAGGATGTAGAACCAGAAGAGTGAGGAGAGCCAGACCATTTCATGAGAGAAGCTTTAAAGACCTTACATTTTATGGTCTGGAGGGCACCTCGAGGGATCTGTCTGTTGGGTCAGTTCATGCAGAAAATTATTTACTGACCAGTTGCTAGGCACTGAAGATTCGTGCTCAGAGTTTGAGCAGCCATTCAGTTTCTAATCAAGCTAATAATGTCAACACCCACTCCTCATTTTTCTTTCTGGTTCACAAGTACTTTTGATCATCACAGACCTTGCCAAGTCCAGATAGGTTTCTTGGGCTGTTACTTAAGCATTCCTGTCAAAGTATTTTCACAAGCCTTTGTTGTCTCTTAGCAAGCACTACTTTCTAAGTTTTAACACATCTCCTTTTAATAATGTATTCCAGAATATTCTCAAAATTCTGTAAGGTTTATTGGCTGCAATTTGTGGAAGCCACCTTCTCATGCTTCAGAAATTAGATATGTAGTCCTTAGCTGATTCCTCAAAGGTGACTGACTGCCAGTGAGCTTTACCCATCTCAGTGGTAGGTTGTTTGTTCCCAAGCATGTAAGCCATTAAAAGATTGAGTACCTGGAAGCTCTCACAATATCTGCCCATCTTTACCTTTTCTGGTATTTCAGGAACTTAAATCACTTGCCAGGAGAAAGCAGAAACAAGGTACTTGCATTAGGCAGTATCCTACTGGCTCTTTTCCTTGCTCGGAATCTAATTTGTGGCCCCTGTTAATCTGGTTTGGGCAGCCCTCACGTTCTGTTATTCCTGCAGTCCAGCTGCGGCATAGTTAGCCTGGGTTCCTAATCCATCCAGCTTTTACCACCCTGCTCCCTGTGCAGTGACAGCTGTTTACTTAGGTATTTTTTTTTTCCTTGTTACAATTACTTTTGCTATTATGTGCTTTGTTTTATCTTGAGGAGTTTTCCAACTTCCAGAAACCATTAGTATACCACACTGTGGTTTGTATCTATACTGACAACTCTTTGTTGCTATGGTACTACAGATTCTCCTGAATTAAAAATCTTATAAAATAAATGTAGTCTATTTAGCAGTTATTCTATGGAGTAATAATAGTATATCATGGAATATGTCCCTTTAGTACTAAGGAGGTGTAGGGGTAGAAGCCTATTAATGATGTTTGATGATTTTCACAATGCTTAACTGGTATTGTCCAGTTGTCCCACAGTTGAGGAGAGTTGGGTGGGTCCCAGACGATGGACAAAGTGCTAATTTGTTTGAAGTCTGAATTATTTTTCATGGGAAGGGGAAGTGTTAGGAAATGACAATCACTTTTGACATGTGTCGAGTATTATGAAAACATATGAGAAGCCTTGTGGATTACACCATGAACTGCCTGACCTAGCAGTCAAGATCAGATCCCCAGATAATGTTCTTTCACAGAGCAGTGAATTACATGGCGATTTGCAGTATGTGTCTCATTTAAAGCCTGTTCAGTATATTTAGGCCTGAGGACTGCTCATGCTAATAGCTCTCATAGCTCTTCTCTGCTCTCCAAATCAGCATATTTTGAAAATATGTCAGATGTGTGCATAGAAAGGAGATAGAAATGTAGATACACTCTTAACTAGAAAAATATTTTCCTTGCTACATTTCTCTTCCAATTATGTTTATGAACAGTGTTCATGGAATATTATTGCCATAGTGCAAATAATGACTTCTGACCCCCTGCAGGGGTGTGAGCTTTCATTTTAGGTGTGGCTACGGCATAGCAGTGTGATGATGTATCCCACCCAATTAAATAATGGTCTGTATTTAAAAGTATTCATCTAGTTTACTTATTTATGTTATCATTCAACACTCACAAATGTGCATCTCTCAATAATCAGTTGTATGATAAAACATGTTGACAGCAAAAATATTTTAAAACAACTCTATTCAAAGGGGAAAGATAAATATATTGATACCTGTCTAGCACTGTTCATAAGAGTACTCATATTCATCCTTTTGGGAAACTACTACTGTTAGTCTCAAATTATTTAAGCTCTTTTGCTGAAACCAAACTCTCATCTGTGGTCAGAGCAGCAACTAGTGAGTTTCTGGTACCAGTATTTTAGCTCAGAAGATGATTCTGAACGAATCTTTAGAGTGATGCCAAGAGAAAAAAATGTGGCTCTGTTTCTGGATATGTTGAATAGCTTTCTTAGGACAATTTCCCTTCGATTAAAATGAAGAGTCCTAAAGCTAAGTATCTAAAAGGAGTAAACAACTCTGCTGCTTGTTTTACTTAGTTTTGGAAAACAGTATTAACCATATAAAGTGACTCATCTGTGGGACTGGAGTGAAGGTTTTATCCTATGTTAATTTTATTAATGCACATTGTGGACGTGAAGATGTAGAGAACATCTTCACATGGATAAGTTAATTTTATTGTATGATACGTTTTCTAAACCTTTAAATCTCTTTGTTTACCATGTTCATGTAGGCTGGAGGAGAAAAATTTCTTAAATAATAGGTTGATGACTAGGTAGACCCTAAAACTACTAAGATAAACAGAATGTAGTTAGCCATCTGTGCTCATGGTTTGTTAAAATCTGAGTTAACCTGATTGGGGCTGTACCACTGTCCAAAGAAGATGCCCTTAAGTAGTCCTACCTTCTTAGAGCTTCATTTATTTTGCTTTTGTATATTAAATAAAAACCGTCTCAAATGTTTCCTTGTATAGTCTATTGTTAATGCCTGAGTCTGTGTGTTAATTCAGTTTCAGCAGCTAACTCTGGCTTTTGTGTGACCAGGACTCTAGCTTGTCTCTCTGCCTCTCCCCCATTGTTTTGAGGGAGGGCTATCCCATAGGTTAGGTAGAGAAAATACTTTCCCAACAGTGTGAAATTACAATTTTTTTTTTTTTGAGTGGTGTCATTCCATGTTTCTCTGTTAACAGAATAATTGTTTTCCCTTGATACTTAGTATTAAAGTAGTTAAGCGTTTTAAACATGGAAGGCTTAACTAGCATTTGCAGTAAAAATGAGAGAAGCATGGACTTTGAAAATTCAGTTGATTATTAAGGGATTTGGTTAATCCATGCCAGTATTTTCCCCTCTACTTTCTTAAGTGTTCATGAATAAGCTCTATATTCGTATTAAGAAAAAGCAATGTAAGATTTGGTAATGTCAATTTCAGTGATTTCCTAAAGTTTACTAGAGTACTGTGATTTTTAAATTGTATTTGGTTGTAATACTGAAACCATGAGGAAGGTCAGTCTTATTGCAGCCCGTACTTACTAAAAAAAATTTTTTTTTCTGGCTGTAACTTTTGGCATTTATTATCTTAGATAAGAAACTCCTAGTTTAAATATTCCGCTACTGGTGGGATTTGTGGTTATCCCATCTTCCTTAGTAGTCTTATAAAATCTTAAATTCCTGAAGTAACATATATATCAAAGTGTTAAAATACTGGGCACCTGGGTGGCTCAGATGGTTAAGCATCTGCCTTCGGCTCAGGTCATGATACCAGGGTCCTGGGATCGAGTCCCGCATCGAGCTCCCTGCTCCTTGGGAGCCTGCTTCTCCCTCTGCCTCTCTCTCTCTCTCTCTCTCTCTGTCTCTCATGAATAAATAAATAAAATCTTTAAAAAACAAACAAAAGAGTGTTAAAATACTGATTGTATCTTAAGGAACGTACTTGGTCTCTGGTCTGAAGATCCTGAACAGCACTAGTAATTGTTTTAAAGTATTCCCCAATGAAATTAAAGTAGCTCATCAGCAGCAAGAAGAGTGTGAAACAAAAGGGAACTTTTGGCAATTACATGGTGATTCAGAAACAAAGTTTTGATGTGGTGAAATTTACTTTGTCTTGTGTGGAAGTACCTATGACCCGTGGTTCACATTTGTGATTGCCAGCAGCCAAGGGACTACTTACTGTATGTAGCACTGAGGCTACTGACGCCTGTGAAACATCCTTGTCCACAGTGCCGACTGCTCAACATCACAGTTAAAGACAAAAAGACATATTCAGTAGCAAAGGGTGAGGTGAAGGAGTGAGAGAATTGGAGACTGTTAATCTGTGGATAAGTGCTTTCTCACATAAATGTGAAAGAGGGATTAAATTCATTCCATGTAGTCCCTAGGGTAAAAAAAAATGAATGCTCTCTAAACAGCAGCTGTCTGACCCAGGGAATTCCTCTTATCTGAAAATGTTCCAGCAAATGCTGGCCAAACACCTGTTAGGGATGACCCAGTATTGGGTGGGAAGTGACCAGACGAATCCTAGGATCTCTCACACTTCTGTATGTCTATGAAGTAGAAAAAACCATGGGAGAAAATGTGGGAGGAATAGAGGATGAAAGTTATTTGATTTTAGCTTGGGTACTCAAACCAATTTTTATACTTATTACTATGTCATATTCTACCCGGTAGTTACAAGTAGTAGAATGAGGTAAACGTGTGGTAAATAATAAAAATAGGCAAATATTTTTCCATATGTTTGTTTCAGCATTA